AAGGAGGGGTCGCTATGAGTCAAGTCTGACTCGACGGCACATAACAACAACAACACAAACATGAGAACAAACAAATAGAAAATAAATCTTTGTCAATTAAAATAATCATAAGGTGAATGAAGAAGAATATTGGATTTAGGATAACAATTAGAAGTAAAATGAAAGAAAGGAAGAAAATAAAATGTTATTAACTAAAATCATAATCAAGTAATTTGAAATAGTTCTGTCATTGAAAAATTCTTATTTATGTATATAAGATCCTGGCATAATAAAAACCTAGTTACAATAGGAATTCAGAGAAAGTAAGTGGTATCTGTGAGAAAAGAGGGAGCAAGGAAAATTTTACTTAAAAGTGAATTATCATGGGCCCTGGAAAATAGGATGATGACTGAACTTTAGTATTCATAAAGAGAATCACTGACATACTAATTAAGTCGCGGGTATTTATTGAGTGCCTCTATCGTGTTAAGCATCCTGCAGTCTCTGGAAAGATAGATGAGTGGGCAAAACACAGACGTAGTCCAAAAATTCATATAAAAGTGGTATGGCCAACAGTAATCAAACAGTTACAGAAATTATATACTCTAAAGGAAGAGTGTATAACTATGTAACTCAGGAATCTGACCTCAATTGGGGTCTAGGTTGGTTCTTCAGTGAACTGAGGAAATAAACTTTCTGAGAACAAATGCCTTAAAAAAACAGTTTCAGTTACGCATTTCAGTCACTGCCACAATGAAACATAACCTCAGGTGTCTCCTTTTATTTGCCCTCTCATTTGTACATTTTACAGAGCCTTCTTTAGGCTTTACTCACACTTAGCTAATAGTTTTATTGATTGTTCCTGTGTTGTTTCATACTTTTATTTCCTGATTGACTAGAACATGCTATGAAAACCTAAATCTATTCTAAAAGTGATACCACACTATTTTGTCAAAGTTCAAATGCAGTTTGACAGTGCTAATTCTTTCAGTTAATCTTACAGAAATTTTTGTGTAAGTTCGTATGTTTACATACATGAGATAAGATGTTTATTGATGCTTAGTTTTAATAAGGAAAAACAAAGTCAGTCTAAAGAAATGATTGTATATAAAGCCCAGAAAATATGCAGTGAGGTTAATCTATGTTGGACATTAAAAAATGTTCATAATATATAAGTTAAAAAGCATAGTTTTAAAAATATAAATATTATACTTTCATTATTCAGAGTATGTATGTATGTACATTTATATAGTACATAGCAGGTCTTTGTCTAGAAGATGATTTGCAAAGACACATCCTAGCCTGTAATTACTTCTGGGAAATGGGATTGGATGTTTTTGTGGACAGGTAGGAAGTATTCACTTTTTATTTTAATACACTTCTGTGTTATTTAAACTTTATTCAACAGAAGTAAATTCCCTAAGTAAATGAATAAAGTTAAATGATTCCATAATATGCCATAGAATTGTAATTTTGGGGTTCCCTTCTCTTGCCTTTCAGTTGGTAATGATTATATGTTTACCTTTTCCTGTAATCCACATTATAGGTAAAATCCTAGATTTATGGGTCAGCTAAAAATTTATTTTATACATTATTTAATAGAGGAGTTTCATGGAGAATAATTGATAGAAACAAAAGTAATATTAAAAAATAAATAGATAAAACTATATTTGGTCAACCAGCCACTCCTCGGAAGGAAGGTTGGGCAATCCTACTTCCGTAGTGATACTGCCTCGGAAACCCAAGGAGGGGTCGTTATGAATCAGGGCTGACTCGACGGCACATAACAACAACAACATATTTGGTCAGACCATTTTTTACTATGATCAATTCAAATACTTCTTTCTGTGAGACAGTAAAAAGACTCACCTATGCTTAATTTTATCAGCAATATAGGAGCTCTGGTAGCATAGTGCCTAAGGCACTTGACTGCTAACCAGAAGGCTGGCGGTTCAAACCCACCAACCACTCCTCGGAAGGAAGTATGGGCAATCCTACTTTCATAGTGATACTGCCTCGGAAACCCAAGGAGGGGTCGCTATGAGTCAGGGCTGACTCGACGGCATACAACAACAGCAACAATGCGTAATTTTAAAATTTATCTATGGGAATGATTAAATTGAAGAAACACAGTTTCATACTATGTTTCAGTGTGCTTTGTAACAAATGAGATTATTTCTTTTCAGGTTTCTCAGGACCATGAAACAATGGCGCAAGTTTTGTTCAGCAGGAATTTGAGGTTGAATGTAGCTTTAACTTTCTGGAGGAAGAGAAGTATAAGTGAACTTGTAGCTTATTTGGTGAGGTAGGTGTGACCATGTATGCTTTTTGTTCAATAAAATTAATTTTCAATGTGATATATAGAAATTCCTCTTCTTCTTTATGTTATTCCTGGATAGAATTTTAAACTTTCAGTATTTAACTTTGATAGAGAAGGTATGGTTTAAATTATATTCATCATCCCTCTAAAAGTAACAAAAATAATCAGTTTTACCTTCATATTCAGTGTTAAGTTGAATAGAACTGTTAGTTTCTCTGACTGAGATTCTAGTCTAAGAAATACCTACCAATTTTGGGGAAATTAACCTTTTTAAAAATCCCTATTAAATGGGAATTTTAAGCATTACTTTTATTTCATATTAAGGGCTATGCTTAAATGTTTCCTAACTAGTTAAGCAACCATCTCATTTAAAATTATGTATTTTTCGACTCCCTATCTCCCTTTCCTGCTTTATTTTTCTCTGTAGTACTTAACACCATCAACATACCCTATGCATTTGTTTGTTTATTTTCTGTGTCTGCCCAGCCTCCCACACTCACATACTGGCATATAAGGTCCATAAGGCATGCATTTTTATCTCTCTGTTCACTGCTGTATCCCCATAAATACTCAAATGAATTGTTGAATGAATAAATTTCGTAAAATCATTGAGAAGAGACTAATAAAGTAATCAGCTCTCTATGCAATACTATCCTTTTTATACCGACAGGATAGAAGATCTTGGAGTTGTGGTAGATTGCCTTCCTGTGCTCACCAATAGGTAAAAAAAAAAAAAAAAAAAATCAGGAAAAAAAAAGTTACATTAAAAAAGACAGATTATGGCCTGTTCATATTTTAACTTAAAATGTCTTTGTTTTAGTTTACAGGAAGAAAAACAATACATCTCACTTGGCTGCTGTGTAGACTTGTTGCCTCTAGTAAAGTCACTACTTAAAAGCAAATTTGAAGAGTAAGTGCTAATATGAATCTCAATTCATTTTCTCTTTCAACATCTTTGATTTTGTACCTTGTGAGTACATACTATTAGATTGGGCTCCCTTAGACAAACATGGTTTCTATTTTCAAGGAACTTATTAGTCTAATTAGGAAAACAATATAAAATGTCTGATGAACTATCATAAAAACATCTCTAAACAATTTGCATAACAGGTTTGTGAAATAGATCATGAAAATGGTGAAATTTTGAAAAAGAAAGATCTGTGTGTGTGTACATGTTATAGGGAAGGCCATCTTTTATAAAGTCTTCTTGGATGAAAACACTTGAATTTTGTAACAAAATGTCATTTCAGATATGTAATAGTTGGTTTGAACTGGCTTCAAGCAGTCATAAAAAGATGGTGGTCAGAACTATCATCTAAAACAGAAATTATGAATGATGGGTGAGTATCCCTTTAAAAGTAAATTCATACTACTAAAATTTAAGAAAAGCACTTGGATTGAAGTAGGTTATACTTACCAGTATATAATATTTACCCTCTTCATTTTCAGAGAAATGTTAAATTGAGATACTGTTCATATATGAAAATTACACATGGGCGTTGAATTCCAGACTCCAGTGATCCCCTGTATCTCTTCTGGCAGAACCCTACCCTTCATTTTAGAAGGAAACAGCATGACAGTGGCTTAACCTTCATATCCATTATAAGCAGTAAAGGAGAGAAGAAGAAGTGGTCCTCAGTGGAATAGTTTTGAGGCACATGAATGGAGGCATCCTTGGGTCACCTAGACATTAATCTGAGAATCCAATGTTGATTACAATTATAATCGTTATAATTTGAGTATATTGCTTATGTGGAAATGTGTGGGTATTGTGTCAAAATGAGCCAGATTATAATGGAGGCACACACACACATACACACAAAATCTGCCAACACTTTGCTTAAAGTCCATAATTTCCTTTCATATTCTAATTCCCACTTCATGTTCAAGAGCAGGTGGTTTTCTTACAGGCTTTGACTACTAAATGACCTTTAATTTTTATGATTGATATGTACTGTCTTAACTGATTGCTTGAGTTTAAGAAGTGTATTTTTCCCTTGATAAATACATGAAGATTTAACAACTCTTAATTAAGTATATTTACTGCCAAAGACCCTATCCTAATATATTTGCATTCTCATTTTCTTTTCCTTTTTTTCTTCTAGAAATATTCAGATTTTAAAACAACAGTTAAATGGATTGTGGGAACAGGAAAACCATCTTACTTTGGTTCCAGGATACACTGGTAGTATAGCTAAGGTAATTTATGTCTAAGCTTAAAAATTAGAAATAAAAAAATGAAATTAGAAATAATGTTGGTATTATACATGTTTAAGTGAACTCTTAAATCACTAACTCAAATGCAGTGCACTGCTGTGGAATTGGATCTGACTCATAGTGACCCTTCCTTAGGTTTCTGAGGCAGTATCACTATGGAAGTAGATTGCCCCAGCTTTCCTTCCAAGAAGTGGCTGGTGGGTTTGAACCACCAACCCTCTGGTTAGCAGTCAGATGCCTTAGGCACTATGCCACCAGAGCTCCTCTTAAGTCTCTGGACAAAATAATTCAGTATTATTCTAGTTTAACAAGTGAGATCTAAAGTCATTTTCATATTTGCAAATGCTTAACATTCTCTGGGTATGAATGTGACCTAGACAAGGTCACAAGAATTAATCATTAATGTCTTTAAGTTATAGAACCAGAAATGCTGTGCTAGAGAGTGTTTAATGACGTAGTTCCAATTAGAAAAAAGTATTTTTTAAAAAGTTGAGTCCAGGTAAGGAAGACATCAGCAACAGTCAGGAAACAAGAAATGAAGAACACGAACAAATGATTTTGAAGTATTAATTTTGCTTTTGCTTTTGCTAATGTCATTGCTTTTTGAGAAAGTAAACAGGTTCAATTCATAATGTGAATTTGACATTGGTCATTATTGAATTGTTTGTATTTTAGTTTCATTTTGAAAGGAATTAAATTTCCTTTAAAAATGGCTTTAGAATAATACTCGAATAGGATGTATGTCATAGGTATATGTGTAAAATTCTTGGATATCTTTAAGAAAAGAAGCAAAATGATAAGTATGTTAATATTGTGTATAATTTTACTCAGAATTCTTTTTTTTTTTAGTTTTATTTTGATTTGGGTGAAGATTTACAGAGTAAATTCACTTTTCATACAGCAGTTCACATATACTTTGTCTCATGTCATTGACCAAAATTTAC